TTATTTGCCTTGTGACGTTTTTTTTAAAAAAAATTTCAAATTTCTGTAATGTAATTGGTCAATTGAAAAACCATGTACAGTACATATGTATATAGTGTTATTTAAAAAATATATATATATATATATTGTCATTTTTATCATTTTTTATTAAATTATTGTTCATTTTAAATTATTATTAAAATGTTTAAATTTATGTAATATCACATAATGCGATCTTTCTTGATCGTGAATTTTCCTAGAATTTCTTGTAATCACAGAAAAACAAGTGACTGTGCTATATAATATACTGTATTCCGCACGTAGGTCTTTTGTTAATACTGATTATGAATGCGTTCATAGTAGCGAAGACAAAAAGAAAAAAAAATCAACTTACACGCACACGCCCGGTTTTGTCTGTTCTAACTCGTGAAAATAATTGCTATATGCTTCCCCGATAATGTAATGCTTACAATAATCATCTTATAATTATGAGTACGATTAATTTATTAACTTTATTATGAAGGCAACAGTAGAATTTTCTGCATCATGCTGGATCGATCCAACGGGAGTAAAAAGAAAAAAAAAATTGAAAAACTCAAAATATTGATTTATGATCAAAAATAAACTTACATCCTTACAAGTTACTGAATATTTATTCAAGTTTTAGAGGATCGATGCCGTTCTCCTGCAAACATAAAAGCCAGATTTGGATCTATATTCTTGTAAGGTAAATAGGTTCAATAAATGAAATTTAAATATGGGCGATTAAAATGCTTGAAGTAAGATTGAGAAGATAATAACTGTCCTGTTAAAAATGATAAATTTTTCTTTGTCAAAAGGAACAAAAAAATTGAAACATTATCATAAATCTGAGTTAAACAGTTAATTGATTCACTATAGAAGCAAAATAGTTTTAGATTATTCAAGAGTAATTAATAGGACTTAAGTATGCGATTAACGGAACCAATCAGAATAAAATATTTGTAAAGAAAACTCCAATTTTTTTGGAAAATTCACAAATTATGGAAGCTTTCAGAAAATTCCTCAACAAGAATACGACACGATATCTTTCTGTTTCGGAAATCATTTCAATAAATCTTCATGTAGTTCGATATCAGGCGCAAGCAGAAAAAAAACGATAAAATGAATTCTTTCGATGATATTTTTATTAGTATTTAATTTTTAAAAATTAATTTCCTTGATAAAATCGATTGATAAATATGAAAAAATATTTATTAAATTTTACTTTATTCATTTATTTTTTCGGTCAAAAATGTAATTAGTTACAAAATAATTATTCATTAGAAAACAGGAAAAGATAGTAACATTTTAGATCGAATATATTTTTAAGAAAACCAAAAAGAAAACAGAACTGCTTCAGATAAGATAATATTTTTTATTTTAAAAATGTGATGTTTAACATAAATAAATATGTAAATTATACATTCTTTAGTTTTAAGTTTAAAAAATTAATTACTGTCATTTTAAAACTAATTATAATAGAGAAATTACCAAGTACAAAAAATTTTTAATTGTATTTTACATGATGAAAATTTAATTATTTTTAAAACGACGCTAGAACAGATGTAAGATCTATTAAAATAAGCCTCAGGATGATTGGAATATCTTAAAAATTAATACATCATAATTTAAAAATAATTTCCTTTTAAATTTGATAATTATTTCTTATATCCAAGAGTAAATTGTTTAAATCAATTTAAAAAAACATCGCCTTATTATAATTATTCAGCAAAACCAATTCTCGACACTAAATTGAGAAAGATGAAAGAAAGAAAGAAAGAAAAAAACAGTTTACAACATATTGATTTAAAAAGAAAATATTGTAATTTTTCTTTTTTATATATAAAAATCAACATTTCTTTCGTGATTTTAATAAGAGTTCAAGAATAAAAAGAAAAAAATCAATTTTATCACAATTTTCTTCTTGAAATTTTAAAAAAATTTAATCTCTTCAATCAAAATTCTCTATTTTTAATGTAACTTTTTTCAATATACACAAGTTCTTTTTTAATAATATAATAACGATCATCTCATTACGTTGTTTAAATTTAAAAAAATAAACAAAAAGTATCTTTAAATTGCTTAAAGTTAAAAATAAATTACAAATTAGTGTAGATAAATTATTAATTACTATTCAGGAACTAATGTAAGAAATTAAATGTAACAATATATTCTAGAGGAAAAAATTAAATTACAGACTGTTTAGAGTCACGACAAGAGATTTTTATCACTTATGTTACAACTTCTAATCAACAATATCACTTATCATATCGATCATCACATTATTATTGTTATTATTTTTATTATATATACAACAAAAACAATAAGTAACATCAATAGCACTTACTAAAAACTTTTAATACGAATTATTATTATTATAGTAGTACAAATTATCACGATCCATCAACAACAAAACACTGAAGAATTATAATTAAAATTCTCCAGATGTATCAATTCGAAATCGCGTTCTTGAAATATTGATCAGAAGATACGACTCGAACTTGCATACATTCTCCACATAAAGATAATGGCGAAATCTGTTAAAACAATCGGATCGATTGTCGTCATTTAATATTTACTATAAAGTTTTATGAGTAATATTGTAAGACTTGCACGTGAACCTTACATCATTAATATTTACTCGGCCTTCCGGGCAATTTAACAAATTCCTATACGCATAATTTCAGTTTTGTCTTAACGACACTTCTTGAAAATGATGAACAATTGATATCGGCAACACGTGACGGCAATTAATGATGAAAGATGTTGGATATATTTAATTTTAAAACTAGATAATCTATCCTCTTGCAATGACAAATACTTGTTTGTCCTGGTTGAACTCACTCGTTAACTCATTCTCTTTTGTTAGTGTATAGGTATGTCGAGAGGGTAAACAACTCTCGTTAGAGACTACATAACAAGGAAACGAAGGATAAAATGTTATTAATCACAAGAATAGAGGATTCGTAAATTAAATCTTATACATTGATGAGTCATCAGGATAAAAGGTTACAATGTAACATAAAACTGACAGGCCTACGGCATCTTTTATACATGATGATTTCTTAAGTAGTAAATATAGATCTGATTATGAGAAACGTATTAAAAAAATACTAGAGTTAATTGTAACCTTGACGGAAAATTGCGTAGGATCCCAAAAACGTCTTTATTACATGCCTGATTCACGCTGGCTTAAAAAATAATAATAATAATGAAAATAGTAAAACTTTAATCAATATTAATACTTATAGCATATAATAAATGCTTCCGAAGTTCTAAATTTTGTTTTAAAATAGCAAAATGAGAAAATTATTTATTAAAATTTCACTGAAGGATTTAAAATTTAGTAGTTTACTATAAGCATAAATTAGAAAGACTTCTTAAGAATATTTAATAAAATTAATACGCTAAAATTTCTTATTATATATAAATATGTATAATAAACGAACTAGACCGATGTAATTAACTGTATTTAATGAGAATTTTTTAGTATCAACTACACTGTTTAATAACATTAACATGTCTCATCCGAAAGAAGCATTCATTGATTTTAAAATGGTGGTTCTCGCCTTTAGTTGTTCAGTACCTCGTAAAAATGCTAAACGAACCGAAACAAATAGCTAAAAAAAACTCCCAAAAACTCATTTCCGACGTCATGTAAAGATTAATTAAAGCTTGCATTATCTACGTATCTTCATAAATTTCGAGAATACTTTATACTATACTTATTGTACGTAAATCAGAAACCGCAACAAACTTTTGAATATTTTAATGGTAACATTTAACATTAACGTCATTATTAAAAGCGTTCAACGGAGTGAAAATGAGTTAGACTCTAATTTGTTACTGCAATTCTCTAACGGTATGATAATGCTACTGAAACGAGATAGACAAACAACGTGCTTTTATGAGCGTAGGAAAGAACTAATTAGGAGATTTTTAACATCCGTAACACGTATATATGCGTGGAGATATATTTTAAACAGAATAAAATAAAAGACGAGCTTGAACAAATTTCAATTCCTACAAAATAAGATGTTCATTCTTTGTATATCAACATTGTTCTAAAAATTATATTATTATTAATAAAAAATCTTTAAAATATATTTTCTTTTTTGATGGTAATTCAATTTTTGATGCTAAAAAATAAATCCACATTTATTATCAGACTAAAATTATTTTTAAAGCTATTACAAGAATGAATCTAACTTGAAGTGGCGTTAGTAAATTTTTTTTATTATAATTTATATAATTATCCGAAGTTATCTTATCCAGATCTATTTGTCTCGACTGTATATGAAGAATGATAAAAAGGTAAGTCTTGTGGGATCGCTTTACTACCATAACGGATGGGAGATGTCCAGAGAAAGCGTATTAATCATCTGGATGAATAGTGCCTACGGCCATGTTTATCATCTCTTGCTACAATAAATCATAACTTAAAATGATTTGAAGGAGATTTTTTTTCAATTGTTTTTTAAATTATATAAGTACTTTTTCCTGAGAAATATTAAAGATCGATTGATTAAAAGAAAAAAAATTTAAATAACTTATGCCAGAAAGAATATTTAAGTAACCTTTATAAAAAATATGATGAATAATATAATAAAAATACATGCCATTGCTGTGTCCAACTAATAAATAATGCCTTAGAAATGGATCGGTGATCAAAGTTCGGATTCCCCAGAAGAATTTCACTAAAGTTAAATTTAATTTTTAATTTTTTCCAATTAAAAGTTGCAAATTTCGATTCTTTCAATTTCCATCGATAACTGAATTGGTACATTAAAATTATTACAATACGGCATAATTATCTAATCAGACTATTCTGATCTTTGTGATTTTTTGAGAAATGATTTTGACATTAATTAATTTATGTTATAAAACAGAAAATACTACTTAGAGTTATATACCATGTAAATTATTTTATTATTATTAAATTTCTGATAATATAATTTTATACAATAAACTATTTGTATGATCACAAAAAATAAGCCTAAATGAGCGAAATTAATCGTTAATGATTTCATCTGTAATTAATATATTCTCTTCACAAAAACTAAAAAAGAAAATTTTTAAAATCATTATTTTTTAATTAATCCAATTCTTGAGACAGTGATGTCATTGAACTTTGGCAGGAGCCTCTTTACTCTGTTATAATAATCTTCTTCCTTTCAAAAAAAAAATAAAAATTAATTCTCAAGTGGAGTGTTTTTTTTTCATTACATAATTAGATAAATTTCAAAGTTCCTAAACAACGTATTACTTAAAGTTTTATTAAACTGAAAGATATTTATAGTTCTAAAGTCATTAAACTGTTCACGAAAACCTCTGAACTAAAAAAAGAAAAGAGGGGGAAAAATGCTGCATAAAACAATAAAACACCTTTCACGGTTTTTCTCTTACATTAATTATCAAATATGATCTGGCATTTGAACTCATAAAATATCAGAAAATTATTTTAAAAAATCATTTAAACGACTCATTTACCTAATGATATTGCATAATCTACGAAAATGCAATCCTAGTTACATGTAGTAGATGATTCTGAATTAACTGAAAAAAAAATGCAAGTAATAATATAAATTCCCAACGGATTAATAAAAATATCTGATTATCAGAATATATTAAAAATATATTTATTGTCCCATTGAGAAAATGTGCCTACTTTTTCAGTAATTTCATCAAGACAATTTACATATTCACTCGCCTGTTTTCGGATAAAGATCAAAGCCATCAATAATTATGTTAGCCGATTAAAAAGACTGAAATATTCAGAAAATTCGTGACAGATCTATCTACTTGACACTGAAAAATAAAATTATAAGGTTTGAAAATCCCAAGCTTGTTGAAAATACAAAGGTTAACAAAATAATTAGTTGTTAAGTAAATAAAATGAATCATATCCTTGTCACGATATTAAAACTTTAGAGTCACAACATTTTTTTTACACTGAAGAGGAATGTAACTGAGTTTTTAAAAGATGAATCCAGTGTTTTTTTATTTTATTTTTAAAATTTCTCACGCCCAGAATATATATTTTAGCATTATTATAATTATTCAGATATTTTCACATTTCGGAAATATAAAAACAACACACTTTACGCGAAATATAAAAATATATCTGAAGAGTCGAGAGAAAAAAAATATATTAAAATCGTTGTATATGTTATAAAGAAAATTTATTTTTGAATAAATTAATTTAGCTATCAGGGCAGATAAATTACTTTTCTCTAAATGTTATATTAAATGAAATTTTAAAATTAATTATTATTAAAATAATAATTAATGTAATTATATACATTTTTAGGGAGAAAAAAATCAGAAATTCTCAGTAAAAAATACGGTTAATTTTTTAAATTTTGTGTGTAAAATAACTGCTTTCCGTCAAGAAAAATTTTAATTAGTTAATAACATAAGATGATGTTTAATAAAAATAACAGGAAGGGCGAAACACGTGATTATTATTTTTTATTACTATTAAATTAATTGAAAATTTTAAAAAATTTTACATGGTTGAGACAACGTTACATTCAACACGGCTTTATGTACAAGCAAAGCATTGTTTTCGCAATTTCCTTTTATAGATATCCAATAGCAGGCATTCGCTACACGTGTTATTGTTTACATCTACAGTAAGTTTATCAGGGGCTAAAGGCAGATACAAACAATAAAAATAGAATATAAATCACAAAAAAAATAATATTATTATTAAATATAAATCGTTTGTGATAGAGTAGTTTACAAAATGTAAGAAACAAATTAATGTCATCGTACAGGCGACTAAAGTTTATACGAGTATTTTTACTGACATGTAGATATATGATGTTCTCTATTATCGAGATGGAGTGTAGTTGTCTGTAGACCCAAGGGTCCCCTAAAGCAAGAGTCCTTTGAACAGACAATAGAGCATCGATTATCCGAAGTAAATGGAATAAGATACTAGACCTAAGTTAATTTGTCAAAATGTATATGGAAGAAAAAAATATATATATAGAATGTATAGGGAAAAATATAAAATTCTGTAAATAAAATTGCGAATCACACAAAGCACACTTATACACATAAAATAAACGATTTTATATAAAACTAATGAAACTTATGAATACTATTCGAGAAAATATGCTTTATTTAGACTTTATACAGTATAAATTCTAGGATATAACTTACAAAGTATAAAAATAAACAATGTAACAAGGATAAGCAACTTTCCTCCTTCGTTGTATCTTCTGACTCAGCCAATTTATCAATCGTTACGATTATTTAAAAACTCTTGCTTAATCCCAATCCATTAACATGTTATATCATCAATCTCGTCGTAATTGTAACGTTTACTGCTTTCAACTATTAACTATATTATTTTAATACCTAAATTAAACAAAACTCAATTTAGGAATTTTCTGGTTTAATATATTTTCTTGTTAAATCCTTGGTATGGAGAAATTAATCTTTCTTTTAATTGATAAAATGTCTTCCTTTAGTTTCCTTTATACAATTAATTACAGAAACGCTGTCTTCTTACAGTAAATTTTCATTATTTGATACTTCGCAGCTATTTTTGACATCTCCCATTTGTACATTAATCGATTTCGAACGTAAAGCTTTTTCCCTCCGCTCTTTACCACTCCATCTTCACTAACATTTTATTTTTTTCACTCTGTTACCTCTTTGTCCTTTTTGTCGCTTCCACATTCATGCAAAGTAGTTTCCAGCATCTTTTTTCATTTTGTCAATCATCGTTCGATCGACAAAATTTATTTTCATTTTTACCAGCTTTTTTTTCTTCGTGGATTTTTCACTTCATACTCTGCATTTTGTTTTAAAAATCAAATAAAATATAAAATAAATTCCTTCTCTTAACAAGAGGAAAAAAAGACAAAAATTTTCTTTCACATATTTTTTTTTTAATATTTATTTTCGCTTTCTAAAAAAATTCTTATTTTCAAACTATTTTTATTTTTTGCAAAAACTTAACACTTTTCTTTACTTTAAAAACATTGGTTTTATTCCCATTGAACTTGCTCATTCCTCAATTATCCAAGCTCACACTGTAAAGTTTTTTTCTTATTCAAACTTTAAATCTCTGTAGACCTACAGTGTACGTACAGTACATAATGTCGCCCAAAAGTTAATTAACGGTGTTTTTTATTTCAGATACACTGGCGAGTAAGGAATTAAACTAAGTTTAGAATTATATATATTTTTTCTTACTAAACTGATGTAAACATGAAAAAATACAACTGAATTAATTGCATCATTATTATTATTATTATTTCTTTTAAAAATATTTTTATATTAGTTAATTAAATTAACTATTGTAAAGACTAAATGCAATTAATTATCAGGCTTTTGGACCACCTCTTATATTTACCATTCTCAACCGAATTAATTATTCATTCAATGTAATTTTCGCATCATCTGAATCATACTTGAAAATAATATCCTCAAATAAACACGATTCTTCTCCATGCCGTAATGTAATAAACAAATTAAAATGCAATTCTATTAAGAACTTATTTGATTAATTAACTCGTTATAACATTAATTGTAAGATTGTATTTATTAACACAGTTAGCTTAATTATACATAATTATGCAAAAATGAAACTCAAGATGAAGTGTGTCACTATGACAAAAATTCATTTTATGTCGTATAGCTTCAAAATATACAGTACTTGCAATTTAATTGATTCAAATCAAATCGATCTAAATCAATTAAATTTCTTGAATTCACATTGGCATAAAATTGAAAACATGCCATTTTGTCCCTTCATGCTTTGTAAAACAGACCGTAAAATTTATGTACGATAAATATATGTACTGTACGATATAAAAATTTTATATACAATCGAAACAAACATTTATAAGAGTTTAAAGGAGTTAAAACTATTCTGAATATAACCTGAAGTTTTGAAATAAAGTGATATGAGAGAAGGATTTAATGTATATCCTTGACACAAAAACAATTTTAAAATATGTAGCTTCTTTTTCAACATTTTGGGAAGGAAAAAATCCACACAGACACACGAACAAGCAAAACTAAAAATATACTTTTTTTTCCTCCTTAAAAAAAGAACACTTAAAAATACAGCTTTACATTTCCATCACAAATTAAATACATAACTGTTCTCCTAGAAATTAATTTAATGTAATTAGATAAAATCAATATAATTATTAAATCGTAGATATGTTCAAGATTTAAAAAAACATTATCATCGTTCTTGTACTTTTCTCTGCCGTTTCTGGTGAGATAAATTTAATTAACAATATTTCTTTGCTTTTTAGTTGCCATAAAATGTAAACGAGATAACAGTCTACTTTGCAATTAAACCTTTTCATACTTTATATAATTTTCCTTTATTGCATTTTTATGTATAATCTATATGAATTTTTGAAATTATTTTTAAACCTATGAAATAAAATCTCTTTTTATTACCTAGTTCCACTTTAAACAATGATGTATACCGCTTCAATTTTGTAGCATAAGCCATTAAAGTTTTTCTCCTCGTAAAAAAAAACACGATTCTTAAATGTGTTCTACCCACAAACTGTAAGGTAATGACAAAATTTTAAAAAAATCTATTCATAGAATTCTATAGCATTTATAACAATGTAACAAAACATAGAAATCTGTAATTTGCATCTGAATGCTTTGACGACTTATCACCTAAGAGAGTAAAGATACCACCCGTATATCTAATTATCTAAAAACCTGCAGCTATCATTTAATAATCAGTCTGTAGGGCAAGAATCCAACTGAGTGAGTCATCATACGAGATGATCTTCATGAATATTAATTGAAATAAGTACGTAATCCATAGCGTTAATCAAGTACAAAGTGATCTTATAAATACTGTATGTGTATATATATACATACATATAGGCCTATATATATACATTATACTCCTTTGGTTCATCTGTCAAAAAATTAATTTTTGCAACGTTAAAGCTTACGTAATAGCCTTACCTTACATAAAAAAAATAATTGGATGAGTTAAATCTGATGGATATTCAAGCCGTGTCTAATTGAATAGGTTTATCTACTACTGCTGATCAATCAAACTTTTACGATTATGGAATTATTCATTTTTAGACATTTAACGATTACCAACGACCGTTTAAAGTATCAGCAGTTTTAGTTTTGTTTATAAATAAGTATAGTATTATCCGAGTAATTGTTTTTATATTTAAATTTCTTCCCTCGGTCACCGTAAATAATGATTTTTAATGTATATGAAGTAAATAAACATCTGTTCGACACAAAATTAGTTTTATATTTACATATTTATTTACATGTAAATGTATGCCATATCAAATTAGTCAAAAACATTACACATATTCAATGACCCAATAATTCTAAATCTATTCAATTTAATAGCCGCTAACTTCGCCATATTTAAATATTCGTCTTCTTTTATGTTTTGCAGTTTATAAATGTAAAATTGATATTTATAAAAGAAATGAAATGCGATTCATTGTGTGAATATTGAAATTCAAAATTTCCATTTAAATCGAAAATTGCGTACTTTATTTCTCTGACTACGTGATTTCCATTCAAAATTATTCTTTTCATAAAAGGAGATCTAGCATTATTATTATCTGGTACACGTAAGCTGAGTAGTCACAAAAAACATGTGCAACTTCCATTTTCAACGTCACGAAATATTAAAATTAATTACAAAATTTAATATATTGTAAAATGCTTTAAAATTAATAATTAAAAAATAGGAAATATTAAACATTTAAATATACACATATATATGTAAAGTCTGAGCGATAATTAAATTTTTCTCTTTTTGTTTACATTTTTAAAAAAATGTGAAATAAATAATGAATCTATTAAATAAAAGTTTCGGCAGAGAAAAATCTGAAAATATTCAAATATTAAAATATCATTTCTAAACATTTAAGTTCTACTTATAACATGAAAGACTGGAAATGCAAGTTTTAATTATGCGTACTACTGTATAAGATCAGCTA